ATCCAAGGAGACCATGTAGTGGTGGGGGGGCGAAGCCACTTCGAACCCCCCCCTCGGGCTGGGGGCTGCCCCCTCGGGAGATGGCAGACCAGGGTGAGCCAGGAGTCCCTTTCAAGGAGGCTCTCAAGCACCCAGTGATACCAGGGGGTCAGTCAGCACCCCCACTTCCTGGGTACCCCCCCCCGACCCCACCGGTGCCAGAGCCCTCCTGGCTGTACCCAAGCAGTCCGGTTCCTTGTGGTAGACGTCCCCCTCCAGGTAGCCCAGGGCGCTGCACGTTGCCAGGAGTTCACAGTTCATCATGTACAAGTCCATAAATTCCGGCCCGGCCAGAAAAGGGAGAGCGAAACCTGCAAGGACAGAGCAAGTGAGCCCCCCGTGTCCCTGGATGGGAACCGTCAGCCCCAGTACTAAGGCCCGAGCCCTGCGCTGCCAGGAAGGAGCAGGGAACAGGGAATCGTTAGCCTTCCACGACCAAGTGGGGAAACTGAGGCAAAGCAAAATTAAGAGACATATCCAAGGTCTTGCAGCAACCCAAGAGCATGGCTAGGGGGAGAACTCAGCAGTCCCCATCCCCTGCCTAACCTGTCCTGAGTGGGGACAGAACCCAGGAGTCCTGGCTGCCAGTCCCCTCCTCCAGCGCTAACCACTAGACCCCACTCTTCTCCCTGAGCTGCAGGCAGAACCCAGGAGTCCTGGCTACCAGGCTCCCCACAGCTCTAACCACTAGACCTCAGTCCCTGAGAACCCAGCAGGGAGTACAGACCCACCCCCGGACGGCTGTGCAGGCAGGTGCTGGGGAGCTGCCGAGAGCGAGAATGAGAGGTGAGTATGGGGGGGGAGCCAAGGCCCCAGCCTGTGACACCCCTCTCTGGGGCGGAGCCTCGGCCCCATGGCCCCCACTGCCGCCTGGGGCGTTGTCATGGAAGCGGCACGCTGCCCTGGAGACCAGGCCGAAAGCAGCCGGCTCAGGTGACCTGGCAGATGGAGACACTGGACCCATGGCAGGGGGGGGGGGGATTGATGCCCACCCGAACAGCAAGGCTCCTGCTGGTTACCACGCTGACAGCAGCACCGGGGCCAGCCTCTTACCTGCCCCACGAGCACCTCCAGTTTCCCTACCTCCTGCCCCACACTGGGGGCCAGAAACGCCCCCCCCCCCGCCAAGATCTAACTGTCCCTACAGACACGACAGGCTGAGCCCGCCAGGAGCCCAGTCAGGTCACTACTGAAAGGGCCCTGCCCCGGCGCATGGCACCCGCCAGCCCCCCCACCCAGCTGTTGGGGCAGCCCATTCCCTTCCCCCGCAGGGCACTGCCCTGACCCCCAAGAGAGACTGACTCGCCCAAGGGAAGAGCCCAGGAGTCCTGCCTTTCGAACAGGCCAATTCAAAGCTGCCAGCCGGAAAGGCTATTCCCTGCCCCCACCCCAAAGCTGGGGAGCCTGCGGAACTCTCTGCCACAGGAAATCAAGCACCGAGCCAGGCTTCCAAAAACCAGCCAGAGCTGTGGCCAGGCTGGAAATATTCCTGCTCCCAGGGCATGGCCCGCCCCTGTGGCAGGGTTCCTTGCGCCTGCCCCCACAGGAGACGGCCTGCCCAGGGCTGGTTTACAGCCATCACCGCGTCCCCTTGCTGAGCCCCGGGTGGCCCAGACAACAGGGGAGCCGGAGCTGGAAGGAGAAGCACACAGCCAAGCCCTCCCCCCAGGGGAGCAGCCCCACTTCGCTCCCATACAGGTGAGAGCCCCTCTGGGTGCGAGGCAACCGGAGGCTGAGCTGGGGGACCAGCGGAAAAACTGCCTGGGCCAAAGCAGAGTCTGCACCCAGATCCCCCCCCCCCCCCTCTCC